GCCTGATATGTGGAAAGAAACTGAGCACCAACACCTTAAAACTCGCCCCAGGATAGAAACTGAGCACCAACACCTTAAAACTCGCCCCAAACTGTAAATTTTTGGATTAAAGACTCTTAAGTTAGGGACCACCAACCCTTTTAATCACAGTACCATTTACATGTATGAAAATTTTCCTAGGGGTAGGTCTTTGCCTTTCATCAGGATTCCTAAAGCACTAAATCACAGTTCAGGTGTGTGTGTGTGTGGGGGGGGTCTTCTTGGCAGAGGTGCCAGCACATTGCATTCCACAAGTGGAGTGTTCTCTTCTCTCATCCATTTGTATCATTCTCCAGGGATAGAGTGGCAAGTTTGGGCTGGTTACAAACTGAACCTTCTGCTCATCCAGAATCCTGTCCTCTGGAGAGGTCAGACATTGTCTTGATGAACAGAATGTGGACAAGGGGGTACACATTGGGTTTTACTCGTCTTTCTGTCCAGCTTTCCATAGACAAAGTCCGTGCTAAGTGAACCAGGTGCAAAGAAAGGCACAGCACTTAACACTTTTCCCACCTAAGTGTTTCTGGTTTACAGCCTTCCACTCACACAAGTTCACTTACCTGAAATCATTTCCACAAAATATGTCCAGTTCTAGAGCGTTGAAGCACTGTCACTGAAGGAGCCAGACCATTTGGAGTGTCCCCTTCTGTGGACAGCTGGTCCTCTGGTCATCACACGATCAGCTCCTATGAGAACATGTCTTGCACCAGAGAATACAAAGGCATGGGAAGAACAATGGCCTTAGGTTTGCAAATATTCTAGTAAAACCATTCCTTACTGCAAAGGAACAAGGCACTTTGGGGTGAGTTGTGATATCTTCATCTTGGAGGGTCAGGAACAGACATCCAGATCAACAGTGTCTACAGTTATGGATGTTTTCCTTCTGCAGGCCATTGAGGTTCCTGATGCCCAGCTTACACTGATGAGAGAATGGCCATATCTCTGCGGAGCCCCACAATGGGAGGGGCTGGTCCTTGCAGCCCCCTTCCAAGTCTCTCCTGCTTTGTTCTGATAGAAGGTGGTAAGGGCAGCAGCAGCAAGAACTGAAGACAGCATGAGGAGCAAGTGGCAGGAACAAGCCTTACTCAGACTCTCAGTGGGGTACATAGCTCTCAATAGGACTATTTGCAGACTTCCTGCTCTTGGCATAGGATGCGTCCCCTGTCTTCTGAGTCTGTTTGCCCACATATGACACACATAACCCCAACACTCCACACTTAGACATGGTGTGTTTATTCACACTTCCCTCACATGGTCTCTCGTGTGTGTGTGTGTGTGTGTGTGTGTGTGTGTGTGTGTGTGCGTGTCTGTAAACTTTCTACATACTCTTATCTCTGGAAGTGGTTTGGTAGTGTAATAGTTCACTGCTGTGACTGAATCGCAGGATTTGAAATCCTGACCAAGTAATGCTATTAGGAGGTGGTGATGAGGTCATAAAGTCTGTGCCCACATGGAAAGGGAAACTCAGGGTTCTCTAGCAATGACTTGAAAGGAGCCTACTACTAAGGACACCCTCCTACTAAGGACACAATTTGAAGGCACTGCCTATAAAAGTGGGGCCTCACTGTCACTGAATGTGTTAGTTTTCTGTCACTGTAACACAATACCTGAGATAAGAACTTAGAAACAAGGTTTATTTGGCTCTCGGCTTTAGGGTTCCAACACCTGATTAACTGACCCATGGCTTTGTGACTGTGGTGAGGTGGTGCATCACGGCAAAAGCACAGATCAGAGGAAATACCTGTATGGCATGGGTGAGGAGAAAACCAGAAAGCAAGGAATGGGCTGGGTAGTTTCATCACCAGGGGCCCCTTGCCAGGTAGGTGGCTCACCCCTTACAGGTCCCCCACAGGGCAGGGCTACTGTCTGATTATCTGTGACTCACAGATCTGATCGAGAACACCTAGAAGAGAGGTGTGGATACAAGAATCAAGACCAAGAGCTGGGTGGCCCAGTACCATCAGGAGTCTCTGGCCTGACACAGCCTCCCTCGTCCCCACAGGGCTTGCTTTCCCTTTTGTCTGCTCTGTGGTCGTTAATACACCAAGCTGTCATTGCCTTCGTAGCCTGCAGGAAGTGGAACAACTGTTATCTACCAGAAGCCACCGAAGCTTTAAATTACGGCAGGAATGGTGACAGTGACAGATTAGAATTTTTTAAATCAAACCAAACCGTGTTCCTGTCTCAGCTAAGAAAGGGGCTGGATTGACTTCAAAATATACCTAGAAAATGTGTGGTACATGGTAAGTTAAGCCCTCCCAGCAACCATTCTTTTTCTTTTCTTTTTCCCTCCTTTCCTAGCAAAATGTTAGTCTACTGAATTAATTCCCAAAGACATCCCTGTATGGCCTAAAATTATTACCACTGGGAGGAGACTGACGGAGCCCTGGGGTGCTTCTAGGGACAGCATGGACAATTCACTAGAGAACTTTCAAAGGGACCCAGCAGAGAAAGGGCTTTAGCACCACATGGTCTTTTTGCTCAGGCCTTGAAAGACAGGCACAAATAGCAAGGAGAAAGTCATCAATGACAAAAGCTAATGAATTTTAAATAGCTAGTACAAGAAAAATTAATTTGCTAAATTAGTCTTGTAGATACGGGTTTTAAAAAAAAATGAGCCACTGTCACCTCAAAGGCATGAAACACAGATCAGCATAGCTCAGAGTCATCAGCCAGGTGGAGGATCATGTCCACAGCTAAGCACTACCTGGAGGGGCCAGAGCTGCCCTCTGCTTAGCCCTTGCTAAGTTCACCAAGCATCACCCAGTCGCTTTCCCCTGATCTAAAATCAAAACAAAAGAACCAAAACAAACATAATTTTCCCCTTTCCTTCCCTTTCTCCGACACTTCCCAGGCATACCCTACTTGTTCTCTTTCAAATTCATGCTCCCTATTTCTTTGTGTTGCTTGTTGGTGGTGGTAGTTGTGTGCATGGGTGCGTGCACACGCACACGTGTTTGTATGTGTTCCAAAATATGTAAATGTAACTTGCTTAGTGTGGACAATGCTGCTTGTACAGTAATGACTTGGGGGCTGGCCGTTTGTTATCAGATAAGCAGTTTGGGAGCTCTGCCCTGGAGAAGACCATTTCTCATGCTCTCGTTGTTTTATGGACCTCCTTGTCTGTATGCCATGTAAACACCACTCTTCGAAGGGCCGCTGTGAGGACTGACCTGAAGATACTGTAGGCTGGTCTAGTATGCAGCAGAGTGTCCTGTACAGGCCTCAGAACACTTGCTAGCTTGTCTCCTGCAAGCGCCAATGAGGGGATGAAAAGGCTTGCCCAACCAAAGTCACATGCCTGCTGAAAAGGGGAGTCAGGCCATTCCTCTCTGGCCCGAGCACCTGCTCATGTGAGCCTGGAATGCAAGTCCTGGCTGAAGAGGACCAGGCAGTGCAGATGAAGCCAGAGAGCCAGGGACTTCTAGGCTGATTTGTCTGTGTCTGCTCTCAGACTGGCCCTGGGCCTCTCTTCTTCCATTGGCTCTTGTTCACTCTGGTTCTTAGCTCCATGTAGCAGATCCAGACTCTGAATAAGTTAATTTCTTGGTGCTGGCATTTCCAATCACTAACATTCTACTGCTGGCCCCAATCCACTGGACTGCTGCTATGAGAGACACAGCTGTGCCACTGGCATTGGTGAGCACCATGGAGGCACCTGTGATCTTACTTTACAGGGACACAGGCAGCAGGCAGACAGAATGCTATAATATATCAAGATCTGGCCAAGGAAACACCTAATGGAAAAGAAAGCCTGAAGGCAGAGTCCAGTCAGCCTTTCACAGTTATTTCTTTCTCCGACATAAAATACTAGTTGGGCTAAAAACTATCTAACATATCCATGGTGGTGAGGGGGTCCCAAGGGAGAAACAGGAACAAGCCATATTTTATTACTGCTGGAATGTTCCACCTATCTTAGAAAATCTACCCAGGAAAGAAGCTGCGAGTCAACAACCTTTCTTCTCCATTCTGGATATCCACAGAATATGGTGTTTCTCCCTGGCCAGCGCTATTAAAACAATTGGCCTGAGTAGGGGGTACCGTCTACAGCATGGAACACCCCAAAGCCTCCTGTTACATTCACTGCACTGCTATCCTCTCGTCAAACCCTTTCCAGGGATAGCTGTTGGATATCTGGAGTTTCCTCCGATCCCTAGGAACATAAACAGCAATAGATGCTTCTTGAGTGGGCCAAGGTCTCTATCTTGGCCAAAGCCTGTCAAGCTTCAGCCACTCAAGTCTGTCCATAATCTGGAAAGCCTGGCAATCATCCTCGTTCAGAGGCAACTGAACTTGGAGGAGCTCTCTAGCAACTTTCTGAGGACACTTGGATGAGGGTGATGGAGCCTGCCTGGGACAGATTCCCTGACTCCATTTGGACACTGGCCATATATATTTACAGACACTGATTTAGACAGGGATCTCCCTGGAACACTGGCTGACCCTGTCACTTCAGTCTATTAAATGGTCACCAGAAACCAAGGGTTCTGGAATGAACACAAGCCCAGTCTCTTTACAACACCACCATTCCTGCAATTGGCTATGGATAATTCTTCCCACCTTTCCTTGGAAGCCACCCCTCCTCTGGGGCACAGCAGAAATTTTCTTTGACCACTATCCAGCATACACTGTGTATAACCCCCATAGCAAAGCCCACGGTCCTTTCACAGGCCACTGGGTCTAACTCATGCAAGCACAGGGCCCGTTGTTCCTCTGAGGCCAGCATACTCTCCTGTCTCCTCTGTGCCAAGACATTGCTTGTCCTCCTGCTGGTGCTCTCCCACAAGTGCTGGAGGGTACTTCAAGGTAAGGTGACCGGGATGCCAAAAAGAAGTACTACTGTCTGTCTGTCTGTGAACCCTTGCATACAGCTCCAGTGGGAAAAAGGGGAATTAGGTGGAGGATGTGCAAACCACCCCCTAAGAAGGATAAGGAACAGGCACAAAATGCTTTTATTTTTACCCACCTCCCCAGAAGGGAGGTGAAGAGAGAAAATGCATTTATTTTAAAAGCAAAAAGAACTCCAAGCTGGGCCCCTGTGGTGGAGGAGCGTGGGTCACTCATTTGTTTCCAGTGCCCCTGCACTGAGGACAGCGGTGGTCAGTGGAGAATGCTTGGATGGTCCTACCACCCCACCGAGTGGTTAACTCAAAAGACATAAGGCCACTTGCTGTGAGATGTCTGTCTCCCTTTCACAGACAGCACAGCAGGCCCAGACGAGGATGAGCACCTGGGGTGTGGGTAGGGGTGCAAAGGGTTGGGGTTGTAATCAAAGAAGACACTGATAGGGATGAGAGTCTCTGCATCTTAAAGCAGGCAAGGGCCGGGAGAGGAGAGCTGATGTAAAGGTCCTCTGGAATCAGAGGATGCTGGGTCAGGGTGCAATTTGTGTTGAGGACTGGGGTTTTGTATTGCTGGTGATACACTGGCCTTGACCACACAAAGACAGTACAAAGAACACTATCTGGGCCAGTAGGCAAGAAGAGCAAGGACTGGCCTGGTAGGTTGAGTGGTCCCCAGGGCCCACAAAGGCTGGCTGCTACAGGAGGCTAGGGTTCTCTAGAGTTCTGGGGCTGGCTGCTCCCCAACCTGCTCCTCAATGGGCTGCACAGCCTCTTGCACGTACACGATGAACTCAGAGGCCTCCCCACCCTGTGTGTAAACAGTCACTGTCTCAATGCCCTCCACGTCATCAGAGGACACCACCAGATGGTGCTGCTCCGCCAGCTCCACAGAGGCCTGCTGCAGAGTCTCCTGGATCATGACTGTGTGGTTAGAACTGGGCTCTTCATCAGTGACCTAGGAGGGAAAGAAGAAGGTGACACGGATTCAGCATTAATGTCAAAATCATAAATGTGGCACTGGGAGCCGCACCCATCCTCTCATCAATGCTACATCATCTCACACTCTTTTCATCAAAGAGAATGAGACTTCATGCATAGAATGACATGGTCAGGGTCTTTTCCATGTTGCACATGGAAGAGTCCACACCCCAAATTCAAATGTCCATCCTGATGCCAAGCTGCTTTATCTGACTTCTACAAGGTGTGGTGTCATGAAGCATGGGGGTTAGAAGGCACCATTAAATACACAAGCATACAGTATAGAGTAGGAGGCTCCTAACAGATATATAGCTGGTCCATTTGATACTGATAAAATGGCGAGGTTCTTCCCAGATTCTTTGTTTTCACCACTCTGGGAGTCCTGCTTCAAATGCTACAGTCCCCAGGGACTGTTCATCAATGTCGATGCCTGGCCATTCTTTGGAGGCTGCCACAGTGCCGTGCAGGGGAGGCTACTGAGCACTGACAATGGAAAGGACCAACTAACCAACTGATTTTAATAGCTGAGACTTTTTTTTTTTTGTAGCACTAAGATTTCAGAGTCTAGATGAGACCAAATTCTTACCAATACTAAGGTGTCCCTGACTATCAGCTCTGGGCTGTTTTTATAATAATAATCTAATAATTGTCTAATAATAAAATCTAATTGTCTAATAATCTAAAAATCTAATTGTCTGATAATAATAATTTTTAACCAGAAAAGAGGAATAGGAAACAAATTTAGGAAGAGCTGAGAGCCTAGCCTGCAAAGCTAAAGGAAGGGCTGAAAAAGAGGCAAGAGGCTGGAGGCAGGCCCACTGGCCTATAAGGGATGTTGGAGTAGCTATCTTTTCTGGGACCTGAGTGGCAAGAGAGACATGCTCTGGGATGCATTGAAAAGTGTGAATGTCAGCTCCAGCACTTCTGGGAAGCCTGGGAAAGATGCTCTACAACACTTGGCCTAATTTCCTGTAAAAGAGGGACCAGCAAAGCCACCTTAAGAAGAGCAATGAGAAAATCATGAGCAACTTTTGCAAAGGAGTACGATCTGTCTTCTAACTAATTCCTCTATCCATCTATCTACCCATCCATTCATCCACTCAACCACTTTCTTAAATACTTTCTGTAGAAGGTACTGATCGCTTCTCATTTAATAAAACTGTTCTTTTTATAGTTATTACCAGACTACAACCACAGAAGTGTATGGACAGAGTCTATCTTTCAGAGTTTTTCCCAAGACTCAAGGTCAATGCATGGCACACAATAAGTGTCTGAAGTTTGTTAAGGGATGACCTACCAGGTTTCAGGTGCTATGATGGGTGATAGATAACAAGGCAGGAGATGAGAGTTGATGGGGTGGCCCAAAACAAATCATGACCATACCACATATGTCCCATGAAGGTATACAGTGGATTCTCGGCAAGTGGAAGAAGGGAAAAGGACACCCAGGATTTGAGAGGAGTTGCTAAGGCAGCCATGTAAACTTCCACTCATGACACTTCAGATTCTTCTCCTGGCTAGTGACTGATAGCATGATAGTAGCTTCTTACTCCCCACCCTACACATTCATGTCTCTCTATCTTGGAGGGTCTCACCTTAGCCCCACAGCTACTGAAGCTGCCTAAGGAGGAACAAGTAGGGAAGGGTCAGTTCATTGAGACTTTGGGGGAAAAAAAAACAGCTCTGGGTGAAATCTGGGCATTCTGATGCTAGATACTAAAAGGAGTTTGGGACTGAGAGAATTCAGAAGCTGCCAAGCTAGTCTGAGAGAAAACTGCTAACTTATCTATCCATTTATTTATAAACCAAAACATTTATCCCTACTTTTACTATTTATTTCCATTTCACTTATCTGGGAAGATGTACCAGGAACCAAGACTGTGGAGGTAAATATTAATTTATTTTATTTTGAAAGACAGTACCAGACAAGGGATGTCACAAACCTCTTCCCTCACTGGTTGGTAAACTACACAGAGGAAGGAAGAAGAATGGGTGATAAAACAGTGAGGTCCCCAGTAAGTGTGGTTAGGTATACTGTGGTGAGCAGAAGGGGACAGACACAATGAGCTCATGTGACACATAGGGCTATACACAGTATGGCAGAGTGAAGGCTATGGAGACGGGGAGGTAAGGTCTAAAGCAATGTTTGCAATGAGGTCTTGAGAAGATACAAGAGCCTTAGCCATTCACATACAAGCTGAGCCTTTATTTCACAAAGCAAGGCAGAGGTTTCTGAGAAGCCAAGGCCTCAGCCCATCTACACTTGCCCTCTCACTATCCTGTTATTTACGTCAATTATATCTGCTGCCTTTTCTAAGCACTGAAGTCCACTTAAGAGAACTCTTTCTCCATTTGTGTCTTTTCTTTTCTTCAGTTTCTAGCCCAGGTTGGTCTTGTCCAACAAAGCCTCTACAACATTCAACCACTGATTTTTATTCATGGAACATCAAAATTGGTGGGATTAAGTCACCAGAAGATGATGGATGATGGTTACTGCATTTCACTGAATCCCAGCATAAGCATGTGTCAAGCCAACTTGGGGCTCCTCAAGTCCACCTGCTGCCTACTGGCACACCTGCTGCACATACTTAGGAGCTCCATCGTGAGGATGAGCCAGGGGAAAGTCCCTTTGCAGAAGGGGCTCATGAGCCTGTCGAAATGTGAGCTCTTCAAGTGTTCTAAGTGTCACCTGATCCATCTGCTTTTCTGCCATTTCTGTAAGCATGCACTTCCTGTCCTGCTCCCACAGAAGTTAAGAGCTGTCTAGTGTGTGCAGTTTACTGACTACAGCAAACTTCTGACAGCAACCCCAAGCCTTACCCCAACCATTTCATATATAATATTTGTTCCCTCTTCACAAATGGCATCATGAAGCTCCTAGTGGTCCAGTGCCTCATCTAAGGTCAAGCAGCTCACAAAGTAGCAAAAGCTGGACCTGGTGTTCATGAACGAATCTAGAGCTCTTTCTTTCTCAGCTGGCGAGTGTGGCAGTGACTAATGGTATCACATGTCACAGACTGATAGGGTAGAATTATTGCTCTTTAGCCTTCTGAGGCAGACAAAGGTTGGTTGTACAGCTCTAACCATCCTCTTTGTTCAAAACGATCACTCTAGTAGCTTAATCTATTAGCACAGGCTTAAAATTGTTCTTTGCAGCAGAAATAATATGGCTTTCAGTGTCATTACTCCCGAGACGGATAGTTCATTTTCCCCAAATGCTGTATCTAACATGTCTTTCAGTTAAATTATTAGCAGTGTAGATAGCTTAATAGAAAACCTTAACCCACAGGACTGCACAATTATTCACTAAATCACGCCCTATGCTCTGCACTTCCACCCATCTCAAGTGTTCTCGAATCAGGATTGAATCCTGCTAGTGAGCAACACTTGGCAGATCTATTGATGTTGGAGAGCGGCTTCCTGTGGGGACCCTGTCTCTCATGGTCTACGCTGCAACATGGATGAAGGTTTTGCAGGACATCATGCCATCCAGGGGCTTCCAATCACCTCACTGTCTGTTTTCATATTTCTTACCTGTCCTTCCTTCTCACACTTCTTCAGCTCCCTTCTCCACTTTCTACATAGAATCCATCCCCACAAGTTTAAATGCTCTCTTTCCCAACTTTCAAGAATGTCCCAGATATCCCTCTCACTCACAGCCCCTCAAGGAAGATGTAGCCTTGTGTCACTCCCTCAGGCCTATATGGCCCTGGAAGGCTTTTTGCCTCCAAGTTCTCCTTGCAGACCTGTACCATCTGGTGAGAACAGCAATACTGGCTGTGCAGGCAGCAGCATTCACATCAGTGTTTACCCAGCAATCATTCTGTAGCAGCTGAAGAATCTTAACACCAAGCCTCAGGGAGTATGGGAAGAGGAGAACCTGCCTGCAGGGCCCTACCTATCACAGCCATAGATGATCCAGTATAGGATAAGGCCATATCCAGGTTCCTGTGCTTTTGATGGACATGAGCTTTAGGTGCTTACTCCAACACAGGACTAAGCCAAGTGGGCACACATAGCTTCTTCCTGAGTCTCTTATTGGTTTCTTGAGCTGGACCAGATTTTACAGGCTCTTTAATAAGAATACACTGAGAGAATACACTCTGCTAAAGTGTTTCATGTCTCAGAAAGATGGCCACAATCATACCTCAAGATCGTACAACAAGAAGCAGGACTGTCCTCCAACAGCACAGTCCCTGGCCAAGGAATGCTTGACACTGTATCTTCAGTACACAATACTGGCCAGGAGAAAAATGTGAGGAGGTGCCTTGTCCAATAGAAAGACCACAGAAAAAGGTATCCAAAGGAAGCCTGCTGAGAGCACTTCTTCCTCGAGGCAGCTCTTGACCTTCGGCTTACAGCCCACACCTTCAGAGTCTCACCCTGAGCACATGTCCTTCTGTTTGAGACTACACCAACCACTGCCTCAAAATAGCCCAGCAACATAGCCAACGACACGGAAATGTGCCAAACAAAGATAGTTAGGGGAAGAAAAAGCTGTAGGTCACGGCTGAATCCCACAGAGGCAGCAATGAGGAAAGGAATGTTCTCACTCACTGACATTCAAAGGAGCACTCTTTGAAGCCACCGAGGACCACACCTGCAGCACGCCTTCACCCACAGCCTCAAAACAGTGTGCAAGGAACTGTACAAAGAACTCCCTGGCACCAGACCCCCACACCTGTGCTGGGGCTCACAGCCACACTCTCATCAGCATCATCTACTACAACAATTTTGCTCCTGGTCCCAATGAGGAATTGGAACTGCAGTTCCAATGTACAGAGAAAGTTGGATGCAGCATGGCATACAAATAAGTGAGGGTTAAGGGAGTATGAAAAATACTTCAGCTGGCTCACGATGAAAGGAAACCAGAGGACAGAGTAGGAAGGCATAGCCTTATCACATACTTAGTTTACATCTCTGAATGAATACAACCAGCAGCACCCTACCAGTACATATTGCCCAGCAGCCTTAGCC